GGTTTATGGAAGGTATATATATCATAAGAGAATCTCAATACCCACACTAAATTCCGATTTCCAAACCCCTCAACATTTCTGGCCACTATTCTTCCTTTAAAAATAATAATAATAACAACTTTATTTAATGAGGGTGGCACTAAATAGTGTACTACACTAATAAACTTGTGGCCCTCAATATAAAACTACTAATATTTACAAATTTAAAAATATAAAATATGTGTAATAACAACTATCAACACGAACTTATTAGAAAAATTGACTATAGCATAATAAAATATTACATCAAGATTAAAATGAACTTTATATAAATTTAACTGTGAAGCTCAGCGACACCACGCTCATGTGGACGAAGCAGAGACGCAGCTGAACGTAAAATAATATACTTCAGCAATGTCGATTAATTTCAATCAAATGTTCCATCTCTTTATATTAGTTATTTCTTTCTTATTTTTTAACATATCATGCATATTTCTTTGAAATCCTTAATTCTTTCCCAAACATACTCAATGACTTGATGGACAAAATGATTAACTCACTCGTAAGGTAAGGGACAAAGCAAGACTGCCAGCATGCAGGCTCTACTTACTTGTTGTGCTCACACAAGGCTGCWCAACCGGAYTGTTTAATGCTGAGATTCAGCATCTGTCATGTGTAGTCCCCATTYGTTCCTCAATTAAGCACTATTCTTTGTTACATGGTGCAACTTACTTACTGGCACTGATTATTTGCATGTATTAAGCTTCCTAAATTAAACTTATTTTCCATTTTTTCTCAAACTTCCATGTATTAAACCCCTAACCTTCATCCGAATTCCATACCCTGCTCAAGATGGCATGCAAACTTTCAAGCAAGTACTGGACTGGATATGCAGGACAGAGCGCATGATGGATAAATTGAATCCCCGTAAGAAGCTTTGTTAAACTGACGTTTCAGACGTTAGTTTGGTCTCCGAAATGTCAGTTTAACAAAGCTTCTTACGGTGATTCAATTTATCCGTAAGTTCCTACGGTTTTATTCAGAAACACCGACGCAGTCTACACTAGTTCCCTACTAATTATCATCCAATAGGACTTTTGCACGATGGCATCATAGACCTCAATGACAAAAAAACTGATGTCAATTTGTTTTTTACAATTATAACAAAAACAATAAAAACTGCTCGTTTTTAGTGATCCAAAAAATCAAAGAAAAGGGCTTGCTTGTTGATGTTAGCTTATCTGTCTGTCATCTTATCTGTCTGTCATCCTATCTGTCTGTCATCTTATTGATGATTAAAAATAACCAATCAGCGCATGAGAAATTTGTAAGTTAACGTAAGAATGATATTTGACAAATTTCGTTAGCCAAAAAAAAAGTTACCTTCTTAAGTTGACTAGTGCTAGATTCAAGCCCTTTTTTATATGTACTTATGCTTTGCTAAACTAAAGTTTTATTGAATGTTTTAAATTAATCTTTTTGTTTCAGACCAGTGATACATCACACAATATCATTAGATGATGCAACAAAAACCTTGAAGAAATTAAAAGAAAATAAAGTGGGGAAAATCGTGGTGACAATATAGATAAATTCCATGCAATAATTTGTATGWAGTCATGAGAATGGACTACTTCAACGATACACAGCGGCCATCTTTGTCAGGGGGGGCATAACAAAACAAAGATGACGGAAAATATATATAGTTTCCTGTATTTGTCTTTCTTTTATGGGCAAAGGTGATTGATGTGTCATCTTAATTCATATTTTTTTGTATTCTCTTAAAAATCTATTAAGCTTTTGCTGTTGTATCWAATTGTGGGACAATCACAACAGAGCTAGGTGAAAGCCCAAAGATCAAATTTTAATTGGGTAGTATTTTTGCAGAGGGAGGAAAACCCTAGAACCAGGAGAAAAACCCTTGAAGCACAGGAGAGAACCAACAAACAACTCTACTCACATACGACACCAAGACTGGCAGTACTCAAACCTGGGTCGCATTGGTGAGAGGTTACGCGTTAGCAGCACAATGCCACCCATGCTACTTTCTTCCTCTTTCGGTGAGCTGCTAATATCAATCAATGTCAATACTGTAAGAAAGCTTTATTTGGCCCCTGGATGCCCGATAATGCCTTGCGATCCAAGATGGCTGCCACATTGTTGAAGTAGTCCATTCAATTGTTGTATCAATAAAGAAATCTTTACAACATAATAGATTATGCACATTATTGCTTTGGCCTTAATAGAGTASCCAAGTGATGACATTAAACCGACGACAATACGTAACACTTTGCTACTCTATGAGATTAAATTGGTCAAATAATCAATACAAAATTTCATTTACTAGTAAAGAGTAATAAAAACAATTTGAAATTTGTGAATTGTGTGTTTCATATATTGATTATGGTGAATATAAGAAGAAAACTTGATTTGTTTATAAAAATAGGAGGCCAAGGGAGGTTGAAAAAGGATATTCTGTTAATTTCAAATCAACGTCAGGTTTTGCTTGTTTTACCAGACCAAATGTCATGTGACAAACATAATCAGGGCCATATGTTGTGACATTGTCATGCAAGATTAATTCTTTCAGCTTGCAATTGGTGTCCATTAATGCTAAACAAAGGTTGTGTACTCCTCGGTTAGTCATGTTGTTGAAATGCAAGTCTAGTGTTAACAGCTTGCAGTTTTCATGTTTGATTGTTAGACAAAAAATTTCAGCTCCAAAGTCAGAAGCATCATTATTACCAAGGTACAATTTGGTAATTTTGCAATCCTTGTCTTTCAGAGATTGACAAATGCAAGTCATTCCAATGCCATTTATCGCATTGCCCCATAGATTCAATTTAGTTAGATTTGTTGTAAGCAAGGCTTCACTTATCCTCTTGATGCAATTGTTGTTAAGTTTACATTCAGTTAGCACCAAGCCAGTTGCAGAAGAATATTTGTTGCTCAGAGAGTTACAGATTTGCTCTACACCTGAGATTTTCAAAGATGTTTCATTGACAGAGAGCTCAATGGCTGGAAATGATAAAGCTTTCTCTAGATGATCTTCATTCACTAAACTAAAGATGTCCAATAAAGATGACATGTCAGAACAGTAGCTATTAGATACTCTGTCGAATGACATCAACCATGGTGACACTTCTCTAAAAGGGTCAGTACAAAATCCTTTGAAATGATCCAGTGCAACACGTTTAGTAAAYTCAATGTCTTTATATTGTTGAAGAAATTGTAAAGTCATTAGCACATTCCTGATGCTGAATTGATCCTGTGGTTTGAAAGACGTTAAAAGCTCTTCCATCAGCTTTTCAGTGTTTTCATCTTTTTTTCTAGMCCAAAGCTGAACCATGAAATAAAAAACCATTTCAGTTACTTCTTCTCTTTTGGGAATCTTTCCTTGGTTTACCAATAAAACAGCAGCCAAATATTCTTGTACTGTTAAATGAGTGAAGGAATATTCAAGAGTCAATTCAGCAAATGGAGATTTACGAAAACCTGGACCACAGTGAATGATACCACTTCCTTGAAGATTTTCTACTTCTTGTTYATTTAGACCAAAGCTYCTTAAGTCATCTTCATCAAAAACAYATTTGYYTTCCTTCATRAAACRAACTGCCAGCTCTGATAACTTGCTAAGTGTATCTTTAACAACTGGTGGGACTTTAAATTTCTGAGGAATTGGATCCTTTCTGTATTGTGACATTGAATGATGCTTGACTTCAAAGATTTTAATAACCTCAGAATAAAGATCAGCGGTGGTGACTGGTAGATTCTCAAAGGTTTTGGAGTTAGTGATGTACCACTCCATACAGYAGCATATCAAAAAACACAGCATTGGAACATGAGCCAACCTTGCCAGACCCTTATTTTCTTTCAAGTGATCACAAACCACRTTCTTCATTTTTTCATCTGCTTTGAAGTATTTCTTGACATATTCTGTAACTTGACACATGGAAAACCCTTTAATTTCAACAAGCTGGTCAAAGTTCACCTTCCCCTTCTCTAGATCCTCTGTTTTGTGTGGTCTGGAAGTTATTAAAAGAACACAGCCTTCTAAAATCTTTTTTTGCAAAAGTTTAGCAACCATAGCATGCATGGGCATTTTTGCACAAGGGTCATTTGGATATGTTTCCTCACTGTTAGATTTTCCAGCATTTTCATCAAGATGTGAATACTCATCGTAGCCATCAATGATGACCAGCAAATTTTCCTTATTCYGAATGATCAGTTTAAATGTCTTTTCATCAATAATGGATCCTTCATCTAACACACAGGAAAGATTTAAAATGTCTCTTAAATCAAATTCCTGTTGTTGTAGTGGGTTTAACTGACGGAATKTTAAAAGGAATGCAAAGCAAAATTCAGGCTTTTTTTGTGCTTCTAAAGTGTGAAATATTAAGTGACCACTGGCCCAATCTCTGATAAGCTTTTGGCACAATAATGTTTTTCCAATTCCTGGTTTTCCAATAACAAGAATTGACTTTGGATTGCCTCTGTCATTTTTTTCTTTCTCAGATTTCTCAGGGTTCTCAGATTTCTCAGAGTTCTTAGAGTAAACAAACATTTCTGCACAGCTCTTCAATAGGATTTCATCATTAGCTGACATGTCTTCATCAGTTTCTTCATCAGTTTCTTCATCAGTTTCTTCATCAGTTTCCCATTCTGAATATTCAAAAAACGTTACGAATTCTGGATCCATTTCTTCATCATCCTCAACGTCATGATCAAGCCATAAAGATTGTCGGCCATGTTGAATKGTCAAGTTTGTAAATATGTCATCTGTCCGAATCACTTGGTTTTTCCTTAGATGTGAGGGCATTAGCTTGGGCTGGAAATCAGTCTGCTTGGTGATAGATAATCTCAATCTTTTTGAGTAATCTTTAAAAAAAGTTAATTGTTTTTGTTATTTTTAATTTTAAAACAATGGCATGGATAAAGAATTTAAGTTTTTCTGATTAGAATGAAAAAGTATCATTATAACTGTCTTTATCTGATCAATAATTGAGGGGGCACATTGTTTACAGCTGGAGTGCTTCTAATATTAAACTCAGGCAAACTTCTTTTCAAGGTCAAAAACACAGCATGAAGCTG